ACACCGCTACTAGGTGCTTAGGGGTCGATATTTCTTAACTATCTATGACCGAATCTGACCTCTGAATGGAAGAGGAACCTGCATAGAAGTATACACATGACATAAAAGTCTGTGTATACATATATATGTAACGGATTCAGGCTCTGTGATCCGCCTGACGCCGACCCAGAAACGGCCCCCGCCAGCTCATGTGCAGCCAGGGAGCACGAAGGAGTCGATGCAGCGCGCCGCCGGGAGATCGAAAATGCCTCGCTTAAGGGCCCAAAGAGGACTGAGCAAAAGTCGGGTATCCCCTCGAGGTCTCGGCATTGCAAAGTCCTAACCAAGGTGCGGAGACCGCCGTCACGCAGGGACGCAGCAAGCCAGCGACCATCGGAGGTGAACGAGATGTCCTGAAGGGTCCGAATTACGCGGGCATTTTCTGAGGGTTACGAATGAGTATAGCCCGGAACAACATCGCCGAACAGAAGTTGTCGAAGCTTGTAGCTCCCTATGAAGTCAACCGCATAGTACTGCGGTTGACCCCAGGCAGACCACGTTTCTAGTTCATGGTTGGGGTAGTATTAAAAATTTAAATGTATATTCCTTACCTTAAAAATGTAAAATGTTACCCAACTATGACAAAGGTTTGGGGGATCAGAGTTTGAGGCTTCAGGCATGCTGGCAGAAGGCCAGCTTTTCTAGCAGGGCCTTAGGGCTAAGGGGCGCCTTTGCGTGTTCTTGTTACGGGGGTTTTCCAAAAATAGGGGACCCTAATATAGCACCCTAAATAGTAGGATCCTTATTTTAAGGACCCCAAAATAAGGTACCCCTAATTCTCGGAAACTCCCTTGTAAGGGTGCCGTGCTCTTTCTGGGTTGGGGACGCTCCGAAGGAGCTAGGTTTCGAGATCTGACTATGCGTAAGCTTCGCGACTGGAGAAAAGCGGGCTGCGAAAGTGAAGACGGTGTAAACCCTACCTTCGAATCTCAACTAACTCCAAGATTTGAGCCCAAAAGGCTTCTAAGCCCTGATAAAAACGATCTGGCGCCATGACTCTTTAGGGGTGGAGTTGTAACTTAAAGCTCGCAGCAATCTTGAGAAGCCCCGAGCACCCAGCTCAAGATCAAAATGGGCGACAGTTGCGACTTGAATTTCCTCATAATATGAACCCTGTCATGAGCGGCCTGATCCCTACCAGAATGTCATTTGCCTAGACTCCCTATGGCTTCCTCTGACTTCAAAAACAGAAGCTAGCTAGTAGGATCCTGAGAAATGACCCCCAAGAAAAGAAAGACACCTCCTGATCGAGGAGCCCCTTTAAACCCTTCTAAAACCCAACATAAATACTGAATATTTAAGAACAAAAGAAAACTTGTGAAGCCCAAGGTGTCCCTCACACGCCAGAACGGTGGTTGACCAAATTACAGGTCTCTGTTGGGCTCCCAAACTACAGGGGGCGGTATTAAGAGTGCAAGTATATAGGGTTCCCCGAAAGGACCAGGTGTTTGAGAGGTACCCCTAAGTCAAAAGCAGGACTCGGTGGCAGGAACTCCACAGTCGAAGGAGCGGACCACCGACATTCCTGGGCCAAGAGCTTGGGCTCTCCCAGCTTTGGAACTTGTATCTGGCTTCACCGTGTTCGGAGTGGTTCTTTGATGCCGCCTGGGTCGTTTATGAGTAGGTACGTCAGTTCAGAACGTGGGAAGAAATTGGAATTCATCTCAGATGGGTCCCCTGGTTTAGAATTATATCTCCCCGGTCCCGGTGAGGGCTGAAGGGATTTAGGGTCTGTGGGGCCGTTGGAGGTAACTCACCGAAGCATTTGGTATTCAGCCACTCGCCGCTGTCTGAGTTGAGACGCTGTGCAGCTTTACTAGTTACAAGTTTCAAAACCTTGCAACTTGTCATACGTACCTCCATGTGGTGATCATCGAGTCAACGTCGCTAACATTTCCTCATCTAGGTCCCTAGGTCCTCATCTGCAGCACCGGTCTCACCCTGACACTCACCATCGTCATCTTCCTTATCCCAAGCAGCGCATCACGCGGTAGCAAGCAGACACAAGGATAGAACTCACACCCCGTGCGGCCCTCGGCTGCTCTCTGAGGAGACGCCGTTCAGGTCCGCTACCGGCAGCGTGCCATCGTCCAGGGAAGCTGCGATCAAGGCGCCCAGCGATCTGATAAGCCTCGAATGCTGGCTTTCGGGTCTTAATCTCCCTCTTCCCATTCCAACACGGTCTTCAATTCTCCAAACCAAGCGGACTATACACTAAAGGTTCAGAGCGCAGCCATGTAGATGCCTTCTTTTGCTGTCCACCGGGGCTCTTCAAGTGCAAGGTAGGAAGGCTGAATCCACTGAAAGGCCAAACAGGGGAAAGGATGACGTCTCCAAAAATGGGTAGGTGGGGGGATCACCAAAGCATACCGTCTTCATTCATCAACCTTCCTTCATTCCATCTTTTGAGGTGTTTAACTACTCCTCAAACGAAGCTCGGGGCTACAAACCCTGTAGCCCTTGACCTCCCTCTCAGGCTTCCGTTCGTCTACCCATTTACGTGTAGAACTACGCTCGACTCCATCCGGAAGGTACACCAAGCAAACTCGTTTTTGCTGGAGATCCCTGTAAAAGAGGAGCAAACCCCCAAACTCTTAAATTAAAACCTCCGAAGGACAGTCCATAAGGACGGGCGTCTTACCATGCTTGAGAACACATTCCGTAACTGACGGGCAAATTGGGATTTCTTGGGGTTCCAAAATCCCCTGTATCCTGCAAGACTGTTAGCTCATATGGAACCGACCGGAGCCGGGCCGTACCACAAGAAATCGCACAACTTACTCAAGGCACCCTTGGGAACTAACCTGTTCATAACTTCAGAAGAAGCTGATGATCTACATTGGCGTTTCCGAAAATAGGGGACCCTAATTTAGCAGCCCAAATAGTAGGATCCCTATTATAAGGGCCCCAAAATAAGGTAATGCTTGTTTTCGGAAACCCCCACATCTCAGAACCATTTACTTGGTTTCATGGCCCGGGCACAAGCAGCTTGGCTTCTCAGGACGATTCTTGCTCGCCAGTGGTATCGATGCTAGGGCCTGAGGCCAGGCCAGGGCTGACAACGTAGGGGCCTTAATCATTACCCATAATATTTTGGGGGTTCCTTATCATTAATATAGTATAATATACACCAAAACCCTATTCTAATTGTTAAGGCCCCTACATTACACGGGCCTGATTGCCGAGACTAGGATTTCGGGGGCATATCGTACGAAGCCTATAGAGACTGTGCGGGGGTTTATGTATGTCTGTATTTCTGAACGCACGGGATAATTGTGCTTGGCCTACTTGTTCTCCAACTCTCAATGATTCTGACGGTGCAGACGTGCCAAATCGTACCTAAATATCGTATCTGCATGCAATCTTGGACGGTGTTGCTTGTTAACCAATTTCTCGCGTAAAGTATGCTTATCATCAGTCACATGCAAGCTTCGATAATAAACAACACTTATAACACCTTAAAATGTACGTTACCAATCTCCGTAGGGAGCCCGATAAGCTCTCACCACAATCGCCATGCAAACACTGCTTCATGTCAAGGGCTCAGCGGGCCTTGGCTCTTCGATTTATGTTTTCACCACGTGTTCAGCCCGGCCCCCCGCTCATAGCCGCATTTTTCAGCCGCGAATCATGCAAGGGCCGGGGCGATGACTTTATTTTTTGTAGCTCCTCGTCACGTCAGCAGCTTGCACAAACGAGTATGACTTCCATAATCGAGGCCTGTGCGTGCCTTACAGCAGTAAAGGAGTTTAAACTTCTCCGCGTGACGAAGTTATCTGGTGCTAAAGCCTTCTGTAAATTGGGGGTCTTCGCAAATAACTCGGATCGAGGCAATCGTGTTATTCTCCGGGTCTGTGCGAGGACACCTTGCTCTGTGAATTCCAACCCTCAAGTTTTGTCTAGCGTCTGGGACTGTGAGTTTCGGCTTTCAGTATCTTTTGGAAATGAAGGCTTTCGGCACTCGCACTTGGGCTCTCCAGGCGAGGCATGTGTGTAGACGGGTCCGAAACGGTGAAGTGAAGCCTCGAGCCGTATATTTCACCACACGAGAATAACAACATCCAACATTTGCATGGCTTTGACTGTCAAAGCTCTGTTCTCGGGTTCCTCGTCTGCGAAGCATGTGTTGAAGGGCATTTAAGACAGACCAGCAAACCAACCACCTTCAGTCGTTGTTTGTAGGGTGGGCCAAGCAGTATAACAAGCCTTTTGCAACTCGTCAACAGACACCACGCCCCAGGCAAGTCATATGACGGAGGCACAAATCACGCAGTGACGTCAATTCACATGTTGGAACCAGTTTCTTGCGTCATGTTTCGTCCGCGGTGACTCTCAAAGACACTCAAGAACCAACTGTCATGGTGGTCGGTGCTTACCCCCAAGACATACCGAGAAACGGTTGAAGATGCAGAGCTTCCGTTTCCGTAGGAGCACTGCGAACAAAAACGAACCTCCCGTGTTTTCTTGTCCACCACCTCCCACCATCGTCTGCCCAGCACACTGTCGCCGTCAGCAAAGTGGACGCCGCCACTACAGTCATTCCGCCAGGAGAAACCACAAGTCTTGTTGAAGTGCACACCCAACAGATCTGGCTTGCAAGCTTCACTTCTGATCACGTGATGTGGCCGGCCCAAATTGCAACTTGCCAAGGACGCATTTATCCAGCTGTGGCCTGTCTTTGTGGTCTGCCTGCATCGGCAGACTGAAGAACATATTTTACCGAGAGCATGGGAAAATTGAAATCATACTGTACGACAGTACATGGCTGACGTGTCCTAAACTTGCCCTCACCCGCATCGTGAGTTGTCCCGCCGAATCTCCCCCTTGCACGCACAATAGACGAAGCAAAAGAAGTGCTCCAATTTAGAGTTCCAAACTACCAAAACAAAAACATGCGGACGGCGGATTCACAAAACATCAACGTTCACGACCTCCGCGCAGGTGGCTTGGGTGGACGTTTCTGTGCCACAGCAAAGGGGAGAACAGGATTTTGAGCCGACCATGGCTTGTAGGTCAGCGGGCTCCTGGACCAGGCCAGATCGGCCAGTGGACCGCGCCCTTCTCTTGCATGGCCACGAACCGTCGGCAGCACATTTGCAACCAAAGCCCTCGGGAGTCAGCACCTTCCGATCCCGCAACTTGGCTCTGATGTCTTCTGCGTCCTCTACCAGCTCGAGCCCAATACTTGTCCTCGCCCAGCACCAACTCGTCCCAGGTTTAAGGTCCAAGGTTTGGGTCTACACCGGCCGTCGTCGTGTGAAGCACGCTCGCATATGTCCTCGCGCCCGTGGCGCTCCTTTACCGGCCTCGTTCTTTCAAGAGCAGCTTGAGCCAAAACGGCTACGAGCCGTAGGGTATAGGGGTTGCAAGTCTTGAGAAGATCGGAGGGAGCCATTAGAACAGTCAGTGGCCACAATCCCAAACCCACCGCAACGCCAATCATCCGACTGATCGTTGCAGGGCGGCCTCATGCGTGCTCAGCTTCCACAACCTGGACGCAGCGCTGGTTCGTAGTGCTTGGTGTTGGGGTGTATTGCTCAGGGTTTAGGGTCAAGGGGCTCCTGTCAAGTTGGTAGACAACCCCTCAAAGCCAACTTGTGCCCACACGACACGCCAAACAATTAACTGCCAGGACCTTGAACCACGAAGCCCTAGATAGCCTGCAAGTGTTGGCTGTCAAGATTCCAGGGCAAAGATGTTTAAACAGTTGAAGTCGCGAAACTGAACTACGAGCAAGTCGTGGGAAACCCTCTGCACCGAGATAAACCAAGGAGTCGAAGCCCCAAGTCCTTTTCCGAGGCAGTCCTACTACGGGAATCCGAACAGTGCCTTGCATAGCCCAGCCCCTTAAACCCGAAGACTCCCCATAATTTCGAGTGATCGAAGTCACAGTGCAACGGAAGTTCAAGCTTTAGAACCTAAACTCTCACGCCCCAAAACGCATGAGCTTCAATGACCAGGTCCCAGGTCAAAGGCTTGGGGTCTAGGGGCTTAGGGGTTTAGTGACACTTTAGGGGTTTAGGGCCTTTTAACAGGGTCTAGGGGTTTAAGGTCTAAGGAGACGGATTTCATTATAGAAACACATAAACGGCTTGAAGTTCTCCCATCGACCCTACAACCAGAAATTCGAAACCGAACATGGCGGATATCCTTGTTCTGTAGAAACTATAGACCACGACTCGTAGCTCTTCACAGAAGCTCCCCGCAAACTACTCTGTGCCAGCAGATGGCTTGAGATGGCAGTCCTTTGGGTGCGTAGCCGCCGAGACCACCTTCGAGAACTGGCTTGCTGCTGAGGAAGTTAATTCAAGTTACCACACTGGGGATTTGTAGCAAGTATTAGGGTTGCTTTAAATCTAGTAATTTGATTGAAAGTTCCCTTAACAGCAACCCCAAAAAAGCCGGCCGAAGGCACGAGAGAAGTCGGGTGAGGTTTGTGTTAAACAGTGCTGGGATCGTCCTTACGACCTGAAGGGCATCAGGATCCTGATGTGCTGTACATCTTTTTCTTCAGCTTTAGGGTTTGGGGTTTAGGGTGTAGGGAGTTGAGCGTTTCGAATTGAGTTCTTCAGGGGTTGGTTTAAGGGTTCCGGGTCGAGGGCTTCAGGGTTTTAGCAGAGGATATGGAGCTCGTAAACTCCGAAGACTTGGAACTTTGGAAACTGGAACAGCGACGGCTGATGCGGCAACTCCCTATATACTTCGCACTTAGGGGTTGAAGATCTTGAGTTGCCAACTTGTGCGCAAAGTCTCAGCTGTAAGAGGCGTTGAGCTGAATTGGGTTTGGAGTTCCTGGCAGTAAGACCCTGGAAGGCTGCAAAACCCGCTTCAAGCTCCGGAGCTCAGATCTTGCGGTTTGTGGTTCTTTCGGATGTTCGGGCTCAGGGCTAACAAGCTCATGCAATTTGCGACTTCTGTATGTAACATCACAGCAGACGGTGGCCTGGGCGGTTGTTGTGATAACGACGCCGCAGACCCGTCCGCTGTGAGCCTGAGCGGGGCAGCACAGGTTCTGAACATTTGAGGGTTTCAGGGCTTCAGGGTCCCGGATGCGAGATCGAAGCCCTACGCAAGGAATCCAAACAGCGTGGATCAGATCTCCCCGGCATCATGCAGAACTCAGAACCCGAATCTCATCACTAACTTGAGTCAAGTAAAAAACAAAGAGGCCCCTCACTCGAATTCCCCGGAGAATCTGCGAGCCGAACTACCTCTACACATTCAGCACCCACACTTAAACCTCTTAAAACTCAAGAATTGAAACGCCTCAGACTCCCAGATTGTTCTTGCCAGGGTTTCGGGGTTTTTAAGAGTTCAGAGCCGTGAGCCACGAGCCACCTCAAGACCCTAGCCTCTTAACCCCCTTGAAGAAGGCCAGACCCGTAGATTTTGACTGAAGCCCTTGGACTCCAACGCCCAGGACCCAAATTTTCATAGATACCTCTAGAGGACCCGAGGCGACATTGACACGCTTCTCAACATCCGACCTCACTGTAGGGCCTTCCTGTTTTTGGGGGTTCTTCGACTGACGCCCTTTTTTTCCCGGTGTGATTTCATCTCCGAGGTGCTTTGGGCGGGGGCGGAGGGGCCTTCGCCGTGGGCGCGCGCTTCGCCACTTTGACGCCGAAGGAGTTCTCGGGGGGCCGGGTTTTTTTCATGGGTAAAATAGGGTCACGTTTTAGGTCTCCAATATAGTACGGCACCCTTATAAAAAGGACCCCCAAAAGGGACCCTGATTCAGAGAACTACCCAACTGGTTTTACAAGGGATTGTCTGTCTTCTTGGGCTGCTTCGTGTTCAGGATGCCCATATTGGGATACCTTACCGTTCCGAAAGGCCTCTGGCATTGAAGTTGCGGTTGAAGGCTTCAAGGCTTGGGCTCCCCCAAAGAGCTCAGACTTTACAGACCACGTATGCCGACTCACGAGACTTCTAGCACTTCCGTTGCCTACAACTAAATCAATCCTAGTTCCTGACTTCCCCTGAGCAGCTGAGGGTTCTTCTGTGCTAGTATGAGATCCCACGGGGTTTATACCCATGTAGGGGCCTTAACAATAGGGTTTTGGGGGTTCCTTATTATAATTACGGTATAATGCGCCCCAAACCCTCTTCTGATTATTAAGGCCCCCATGTTATCCCCAAACTCAAAAGCTCCAAGAAGGCTTGGGATCTTTGGAGGGCATTGGGCTTTTAGCACTCGTGGCGCCTTGTTGGGCGTAGGGCATCAAACTCGATTTTCACCCTCTGGCCCCCAAAAGTCCCTAGAAAAGGGACCCGGGATCACGATGCACATCGGAAAGTAGCAACAACGTCATGTCCTCTCCTATTGAAATACTGTTAGGGGTATATCAGACGATAATGTTTGTTAAAAATCCCTCATAATAGCATTAGTAATTATTTAGGCCCATGTACTACCCTTCAGCCGACAGACCGAAATGCGGGGCTTCACTGCACGTGTCCTCATCCGTGAACCCTGAACCCTGAAACTCTTAACGTAGGGGCCTTAATAATTAGAATAGGGCTTTGGGGAATATTATACTACTGTTATCAGCTATAATAAGAAACCTCCAAAGTAGTATAGGTAATTACAAGCGCCCCTATGTTATAACTTCGGAACTTAGCACCCTAAACCCTAAACCCTAAACCCCTAAACCCCTAAACCCTAAACCCTAAACCCCTAAACCCTATGTTATAACTTCGGAACTTACCCTAAACCCTAAACCCTAAACCCTAAA